CCGTGTTTGGAGGAAGAAGAAGGATGAGGACAATCCCAAGAACACCATCCCAACCGTGAAGCATGGGGGTGGAAACATCATGCTTTGGGGGTGCTTTTCTGCAAAGGGGACAGGACGACTGCACCGTATTGAGGAGAGGATGGATGGGGTCATGTATTGCGAGATTTTGGGCAACAACCTCCTTCCCTCTGTAAGAGCATTGAAGATGGGTCGTGGCTGGGTCTTCCAGCATGACAATGACCCCAAACACACAGCCAGGGCAACTAAAGACTGGCTCCGTAAGAAGCATTTGAAGGTCCTGGAGTGGCCTAGCCAGTCTCCAGACCTGAACCCAATAGAAAATCTATGGAGGGAGCTGAAGCTCTGTGTTGCCCAGCGACAGCCCCAAAACCTGAAAGATCTGGAAAAGACCTGTATGGAGGAGTGGGCCAAAATCCCTGATGCAGTGTGTGCAAACCTGGTCAAGAACTACAGGAAACGTCTGACCTCTGTTCTATTTTTCTATTGTATCAAATACTTATTTCATGCAATAAAAAGGAAATACATTATTTAAAATCTAACAATGTGATTTACTGGATTTTCAGTTGAGGTGTACCTGTGATGAAAATTACAGATCTGTCCATTCTTTGTAAGTGGGAAAACTTGAAAAATCGGTGGTGTATCAAATACTTATTTGCCCCACTGTATGTAAACTTAACAGTTTATTAAATAATCCGAAAACAAGACCTAATAAAGGCCAGGCAGACAAAACAATGAAAAACCAGAGCCAACTACAAAATGGCAAACAGGGTCAGGCATGCAAAATGACAGAATAACAGTGAGGCAGAGGGAGTAGTATGGATGGTAAGAAATAACACAGTAGAAATCCACGAGCCAGTCAAATAAAAACCCACATACCACTGACCAAGTAGAAGAGCCTATGCTAAGGGACCCCATAAGACCAACTAGCGGAGAGCCATAAGCAGACAGAGTAATATAAACACAGAAAACATCAAAAAAGAAGTAGACCACAGGGGTATTCCAGAGAGGTGGTTCAACAAACTGAACTTAACCATGAACTGTTAGGTGACTAACCCTATGATGTTAAACTCTGAGTTTTCAGTTCCAGAACAGATAATGAGAGTTTAATTAGCTCTGAGGTATGGTTGCAATGGTAGGAGATTTTCAAGGTATTATAACCATCTCAGAAAATATCATGGTTTCACAGTATTATGGTATATGATATTACACAGGTACTCTTATTTTTATCAGCTACAACGACACTCAAATTATATGGAGGATGGCTCAAGATGCTGGTGCACATGAGTGCAGCAGGCCTTTGCTCCTATTAGGTGAATTTTCTTTGTCCTTTTATGTTTTTTGGGGGGGCCCACTTGCTGGATTTTGTTAAGCGGGATAGTCGACAGGATTTAATTGATATTGGTCTACAGTACAAGTCAGTAGCCACAGGAGGCTTTTGGTGGGCTCATAACATGGATTGTTAGCAGGCCCAACAAGCAGAGGAGAGAGCAGAGGGAGAGAAAGTCGAAGAGAGGATGCCGAGCAGGCCTTCTAGCTAGGCTAATACCGCTTTCCCACCAATAGTACCATGTATACATGGGTTTTTTATACTGAGCTGAAACTGGCTTCTGACAGCATTCCTACTGCTGACTGAACCAGCTCAGCTCTCCAGCAGATGAGCTTGTTTCCCCTCTGGTATATTATACAGTATTTGACATCATCATGGTGGTGATGTCAAATACCTGCCACGGTAAACAGCGTTGTAAACAAAGCAGCATGAAAACTAATGAGACAGTTAGCATTATTTCTTCTTATTTACTTATGTTCATCTTCCAAAGTATAGAAACTCAGTGTAGACTGAGCCATGTTTGAGCATTGATTGAATGAAGACATATAGAATTTATGGCTAAGAAGGCAAAGAAATGCTGAAATTATTAATGGAGGAGACAAGCCTTTATTACCTCCTTGTTGGCATTTGCTGAAGTGATGACTACACACGTGTCATTGCATACCTTTGCAGGTTTATAGGCATTCAAAGTATCATACGTTTTCTCTGCATTTTATTTGCGGTGCCCTGTCGGTGTTGCTGTGTCAATAATGCAGTGTTTTAACCCTGCATGAGGCTCATAAAATCCAACCTCCAGTTCTCCTTTTGGCCACTATACCCTCCACCAACAGTATAGGGTTCTGAATTGGTTGTGCTACTTCAAAGATTAGCTCTGAAGTGACACATAACTCACGGTATTGGTATGTGTTACCAGTTTGCGGCATAGAGCCCTTGGTCCTGGGCATTATTTTAACCCCTCATCAGAAAAACAAATGAAAGACTATTTTCAAATCTTGCTACAATGAAATTATAATTAAAAAGTGACTGCTACTGAATGTAAGGATGTTCTCTCGCTGCAGTATTCCAGCCAATCATGTGTCTTGATGAGCCAGCTCTGTTGAAGGTAGAGCTCAGTTCCAGGCAGCACAATTACTGTGCTGATAGTTATATTTTCTTGCTGAAGTGTATTTATCACGCTGGCCATTTTAACACTTTGGGCATCATCAAATATGAAAAAAAGACAGTTAAGTCCAGCTAGTCCACTAGTGCATCTATGTTGTTGTATTTCTCTATTTGACATTATTTAATCTGGTTTTTACATTGCCCTTGTAAAGTACTTTGGTCGACCAGACGTTGCTTTTAAAGTGCTATATGAATACATTTTGATTGATTTTGATTGAGCTGTACCAAACCCCCAAAACAGTGGTACAGTACACAGCCAAAGGATCAACCATAAAACAGAACATAAACCCAGAAAAACTAACAGGCAGCATATTATGCAGTAGGCACATACAGTAGTCCATGTCAGTTCATATGTCAGTCAGCCACAATGAACACAACAGCTGTGAGTGAGGCTCCAGGACATGTGCCAAAGTTTTTGGCCATTCTGTATCCTCATTGCGCCCTGCACAGCTTCATTTTGCTCACCCAGGCCAGGACTTGTGCACACACTTTTGCTTTAGATGAAAACCACCTCTGCTGTTCCTCTGTTTGTAACAGCACACAAACATCAATATATCATATACATAGTGCAAATAGTCCAGTGCAACTAGTGTGTTCAGTGTCAACATTAATAATAATAAAAATGTGGGCATTTTGCAGGTCCATATAGAAATAAAACACCAAACTTGTTTGCACAATAACTCCAGTGATATGGGTTCCTCATTCCCAAGTACTCACCACTCATCCGCCATGTGAAGCCATCAATGAGGACCACCAAAGTGTAGACAGAGGGGACAGACTCTGTACTACAGGACAGGTTTCACCACACGGACTGGAGTACGTTTGCCTCCTGGGCTACCTGTGACTCTCACATGAACATCGACACCTACACTTCCTCTGTGCTGGACTACATTAACACTACCACAGTGTCACAACCCAGAAACAGATCACCACGTACCCAGATCAGAAGCCATAGATGAACAAGGCTCTGGTGATGCACAGGCCCATAGCTTATCCAGGGCCAACTTAAGGAGGGGCATCAAGAAGGGCAAGCACCCGTACAAGCTAAAGGTCGAGGAACACTTCACAAACTCTAACTCCCGATGTATGCGGAAGGGCATCCAGGTCATCAGTGACTACAAGCTTGGCAACTCCACCCCAACAACCACAGACATCTCCTTCCTCAACGAGCTAAATGGTTTCTATGCTTGCTTTGACCAGGACAACAAGGAGACAGCTATCAAGTCCAGACCCTCCGCAGACCACCAGCCACTCACACTCACCTCCACTGACGTGTATGCTGCACTGAGCTAGATCAACACACGCTAGCCTGCTGGCCGTGATGGCAT